AGAGGCCCTTCCTATAAGAAAATATCTGTACCCCACCCCTTTGTACTCTGAGGGACATTGGGCCCTGATCAGGGCAGCCAAAGGCCAGGCCAGCTGCACCCTGATGGGCAGACACAGGTGCAGGGAAAGAAGCGCCAGGGGCAGGCAGGAGCCAGATTGGCAGCTTCCTTCTGGAACATTTGGCTACTGACCAGGCCCTAGGGAGGCTGAGTTCTCCCCAGGAATAAGAATCACCCCAGCCCACACCTGAGGATGAAAGGGAGTGAGGCAAGACCCAACAAAGGAAGGATGGGCACAAGCTGGCCTGTGCCTGGGGGACAGAGATGTCACCAGGCAACTTTGAAGGGAGGGCGTTCTAGATGGCCTGCAGCTGGCCCTCACTCATTGGGCCCAGCCCCCCTTGGATGTCATTCTGGTGCCCTTGGTCATAGTGTTATCCTGATCTTCTGGCTGTAGCCTCATTGCCCGTGTGAGATTTGCAGCTACCCTGCCCTACTCTACCCTAAGCTTCCAACTGCAGGGTCAGCCCCTTCTCCATGGATGGTTAGTGTCCTTTTGTGGGATAAACTGCTATGGCAGGGGCCTGTTGTGGGGTGACTGCCATGGGAGGGGGTCCACTGTAAGATGTTTTTCTATGAGGCTGTTCTGCTAGGGGGGTTGCCTGCAATGTACTCTAATAGACAGCACTGGCATGTCAAAATGAGGGAGAGGGGGATGGGACCCAAAGCAAAATGTAACAAAAATTTATCCTGGACAGAGGTACCTAGTATTCACAATGTTTCTTGAATTGTCTCTAAAGTAAGATAGAATTGCAAGATCACCATATGATGAATGAAATATTACAGTGAGATTTCACAGTGGTGATAGGATAGGATAGTGATGAATATTTGGGTACTCATAGTAGAAATTTTCACTCCCTTTCTGTCTCTGTCTCTGTCTCCCTATCCCTGTCTCTGTCTCTCTGTCTCTCCCTGTCTCTGTCTCTGTCTCCCTGTCTCTGTCTCTGTCTCCCTGTCTCTGTCTCTCTATCTCTGTCTCCCTGTCTCTGTCTCTCTGTTTCTGTCTCTGTCTCTGTCTCTCTCTGTCTCTGTCTCTCTGTTTCTGTCTCTGTCTCTCCCTGTCTCTGTCTCTGTCTCTGTCTCTCTCTCCCTCCCTGTCTCTGTCTCTCTCTCTGTCTCTGTCTCCCTGTCCTTGTCTCTGTCTCTCCCTGACTCTGTCTCTCCCTGACTCTGTCTCTCCCTGACTCTGTCTCTCCCTGTCTCCCTGTCTCTCTGTCTCTCCCTGTCTCTCTGTCTCTGTCTCTCTGTCTCTCTCTGTCTCTGTCTCTCTGTCTCTCTCTGTCTCTGTCTCTCTGTCTCTCTCTGTCTCTGTCTCTCTCTCTCCCTGTCTCTGTCTCTCTGTCTCTGTCTGTCTTTCCCTGTCTCTGTCTGTCTCTCCCTGTCTCTGTCTCTCTCTCCCTGTCTCTGTCTCTCTGTCTCTGTCTCTGTCTCTCTCTCCCTCCCTGTCTGTCTCTCTCTCTGTCTCTGTCTCCCTGTCCCTGTCTCTGTCTCTCCCTGACTCTGTCTCTCCCTGTCTCTCTGTCTCTGTCTCTCTGTCTCTCCCTGTCTCTCTGTCTCTGTCTCTCTGTCTCTCGCTGTCTCTGTCTCTCGCTGTCTCTGTCTCTCTCTGTCTCTGTCTCTGTCTCTCTGTCTCTCCCTGTCTCTGTCTCTCTGTCTCTGTCTCTCCCTGTCTCTGTCTCTGTCTCTTATGTGTGCCAGTATTGGCACATGCTCCTCCTTGGCTTTTTCACTCTTGAGCTATAGCTCCATTTTCAACTTTTTTACTAGAAAATAAGAGGTAAGAGTCTTATAGATTTGTCTTCCCAGGCTGGCTTTGAACCTTGATTCTCAGATCTCAGCCTCTTAAGTAGCTAGGATTACAGATGTGAACCACTGATACCTGCCTCAACTGTTTTTTGTTTTATTTTGTTTTGTTTAAAAATGTCTGTGATGTTTGCTGGGGATTCCCTAACCAGCACAGGAAAGCAGAAGGTGGAGTGGCTTTTCCAAAGAACACTGTTGCAGTTAGGCAACCCTATTTGCCCTCAGGAGTCCTCTCTCCCTTGGGAAGGGCTTTGTGTTTCTTCTTTGTTCCTGGGTCAAAGCCCTTGGTTCACTCTCTGCATCCAAAGATAGTAACATACTCCTGTCGTGGGAAGAGGCTCCCTCTGGCAATGATTTTGGGGGTGAGGATGTGTTTGTAGAAATCTCTAGGGGTATACATGTCTCCTGTGAAGTCTTGGCAGTGGGCTGGGCTATGGAGTATGGCTTCTTGGCCATCCGGGCCTCTGCTTTTCCACTGTCCCTGCCTTAGCCCTTATATCCAGGGGTTGGGGGAGGGGTACTCTTGGAACAAGAGAAGGCTCTTAGTGAGCTGGAGGCCTGGTGGCTCACACCTGTAATTCTAACTAGTCAGGAGGCTGAGATCTCAGGATCATGGTTCAAAGCCAGCCCCTGCAGGAGACTCTTATCTTCAATTAGTCACACACAAAGCGCCAGAAGTTGTGGCTCAATCTGAAAAAGTTTTAAGGACAGTGTCCAGGCCCTGACCAGAAACTGGCCAAAAAAAAAAAAAAGGCTCTCAGGGCTGCAAAAGCAGGTCAGCAGTCACTGGCCAGGGAAGAACTTACAAGTCTTTCTGTTATGGCTTACATGATGTGGGGTAGTTTCTGGGACCAGTGAGGGGTTAGGAAAAAACCTCTGTTCCTGGGTATACCCTATCGAATAGGTTCGACAGACTGGAAGTGGTTAAGGTGGGGCACTCTGGCCTGGTAAGAGGCCACCATCCATGTCTACAAGCCCAAGGTCTGGCTGGAGGCCTACCCAGGCTTGGCACATGAAACTTGGGACTATCTTCCAGTCCTTTCTGGGCTCATAGGATGGACCCTAGGCCTTGGCCAGAATCTGGCTTCTGCCAAAGTAAGGAACTGGCCAGGTGCCTAGATTGGATCCCAGAAGGTGACTGGAGGGAGCCCAGAGAAGTTTGAGCTGGCTGGAGGGTGCGTTGGGGGAGAGACAGCAAAGGGACACCCTCTAGCCATAGCTGGAGCCTCCTCTTTCCAATAATATCCTCAGGGGTGAGCCTGAATGGCATTCCATGAAGGGCAGGTCCTAAAGTTATTCCCGTGTTTCCTAGGGGACTGGAGTGTTCCATAGGGAGCCATGAGGCGTGGAGCCCGTGTCTCCAGGACATCCCGTGAGATATCTTTAGGGGTAGGACTTCTAATATTAATTGGGAAGGTCCATCAAGCCATTTTAGGTGATATCCTTAGGTCCTCTGGATTATTATTATTTATTTTGTGTGCCGATCCTGGGGTTTGAACTTAGAGCCAGAGGGTTTTTTTTTGTTTCTGTTTTTGAATTAAATGCATCTCAATTCATCCCAGAGCTGTGTTTCTAACCTACTGCAACGTGGCACACCCCAAGGTATGGAGCCCACCAAGGACTCATGTCGAGCTAACCTAATGAGGAAGCTGTAGAGTTGAAGGCCAGGACTTCAAAGCAGAGTCTGGTTCATGTGCCCATCCTGTCACTGACCTTTCCCAGGGCCACATGGTGAGGAATAAAGGAAAAGGTGTTTAGGATGGAGCCGGGCACACCGAAGGCTGCTCCTGTGTGTCCTTGTTAGCACCATTACTGGGCTCCCCCATTGTTGAGGTTGTGGGCGTGGCCTGGGAAGCACTGAGGGAAGGACAGTAGACAAGGAAACTAGGGCAAGATGCTCATCTTTGCAGCCACTTGGTCTTTGAACATTTTTGCTCAAGGCTAGTGCACATGAGCCACCACTTCACTTCCAGCTTTTTGGGTGGTGAACAGGGCACTTGGTTGCAATTTTTTAAATATATTTTTTATTGTAAAGATACTGTACAGAGGGGTTATAGTTTCATGAATAAAGTAATTAGTACATTTCCTATAGAACATTGTTATCCCCTCCTTTGTTTTTCCCCTACTATCCCTTCTTTCCCCACCTCCCCAACTCCTCCCTCCCCCACCCCTGTGCAACTTTTGTTTTACTCCTGTGATGTCACTGGGGTAGGGCTTCCCACAGCATTTAGCATGGTATGACTGGGATCCAGGCCTGCAAAATTCGCCATTGTGTATGATGTCACTGAGAATGCCGTTTGGATTCCAAGTAATGTGCCAAGGGGAGCGTGGTCTCACTGAGAGCCCTATGGGAGTTTTCTAGGTAGCATTTCAGTGGCATTCTGTGCGGCCACACTGCACCTGGTGCCTCCAGACTCTAACATGCTGTGACATCATTGGGACATGTCATTTGGGAACTAACTCCCCCAACTGCATTCCCCCTTCTGAAGCTATAAAGCCACAAACCTTGCCCAATTTCCTAGCTGGCTTTGCCCATCCAGCCAGGGTTCAAGGATTCCTCAATCCTCTGCACCTTTCATGGTAGAACAAAGCTCCTGGCTCTAGTCAGGTTGTGTATGTGTGTGTCCTTAGGCTTGAACTCAGGGCCTAGGTGTTGTTCCTGAGCTTTTTTCCCCTCAAGGCTAGTGCTCTACCATTTGAGCCACAGCCCCACATCTGGATTTTTGGTGCTTCATTGGACATAAGAGTCTCACAGACTTTCCTGCCTGGGCTGGCTTTGAATTGCAATCCTCAGCTCTCCCGAATTGCTAGGATTACAGGCATGAGCTACTGGTGCTCAGCAAGGCCCAACCTTCTTTTTTTTGTGTGTGTGTCGGTCGAGGGGCTTGAACTCTGGACTTGGGCACTGTCCTTGCACTCTTCACCTCAGGGTGAGCGCAATACTGCTTGAGCCACAGCGCCACTTCTGGGTTTCTAGTGGTTTATTGGAGATAAGAGTCTCACGGACTTTCCTGCCTGGGCTGGCTTTGAACTGAGATCCTCAGATCTCAGCTTCCTGAGTAGCTAGGATTACAGGCGTGAGCCACCGGTGCCCGGCCCAACCTTCTTATGCTCACCCCATTTCTGCTGTCCAACCAGATCACCCCAGGAAGTAAGGCGGCCCAGTCCCAGCTCAGCCAAGGAGACCTTGTGGTAGCCATTGACGGTGTCAACACAGACACTATGACCCACCTGGAGGCCCAGAACAAGATCAAGTCTGCCAGCTACAACCTGAGTCTCACTCTGCAAAAGTAAGTGGAAGTTCTTCAGAGCAAGGGCAGAGGCTTGGGTATAGGCTGGGGCAAAAGAGGGATGGTCTCAAGCCATTGCCTGGGCCCAGCTTGGTGTTATAGCACTGTGCTGGAAGTAGTAGGCCTAAAATTGCAGTGCTTTACTTTACAGATGAGACCCAGAGAGGGTGGCTGCTAGTAAGATTGGGCCTGGAAACCTGGATCTTTCCTACTTCCCCTTTGCCCAGGAGCCCTCTAAACACATAGCAGAGGTCCACAATGGGTACTGACTCCCACATGCTGATCAGACCTAGTACTTTCTTGGGGGAGACTGAGCCTATAGGGTGGACAGTTAACTTAAGGGGCCTTTTGGCCTGGCCACCAGCTCTCTTACTCTCCCCTTGCCAGGCCCTGCCCAGGCAGGAGCTCCTGCCCCCAGGGATGATCATCCTCACTTGGTCTCATTTCTGCTTTTTCCAGGTCAAAGCGTCCCATCACCATCTCCACATCAGCGCCTCCAATCCAGTCCCCTCTGCCAGTGATCCCCCACCAGAAGGTAGGTGTTCATCGTGAGCCCTGGATCCTGCCCTTCAGTCTGGCCTTCCTGGCCCTGCCACGCTCGCTCCTTGGAGAGGCATTTGAGCACCCATGAAATACCAAGCTGTGAGGTTGCTTGCTTGGGGGTCAGGCACCAGCCCACCCTCCATCAGCTGGGCTGATAGGAAAGCAGCTTGGACAGCCATGGTCTCAGAAAAGGGCCTTCCTTCCTTCCTTCCTTCCTTCCTTCCTTCCTTTTTTGGCAGGGTTGAACTCAGGGTCTGAACACTGTCCCTGAGATCTTTGTGCTTAAAGCTAACACTCAACTTCCAGTTGAGCCACAGCTCCACTTCCAGTTTTCTGGTGATTTATTGGCAATAAGAGTCTCATAGACTTTCCTGCTTAGGCCGGCTTCGAACCACAATCCTCAGATCTCAGCTTTCTGAGTAGCTAGGATTACAGGAGTGAGCTACCAGCGCGTGGCAAGGGGCCATCTTTTTGACCAGGCAGGTAGGCATACAGAAAGCTCTGATGCTAATCAAACTTGATCTCACTGAGTCCTGCTTGCGTTGGCCACACTCCTCTGGCTAGCAAGGTTTGCCCCTTTATCCTGGGCTCTTCTTCCCATTCACATTTCTTCTGGTTTATTTCCGGTGTGCCTCCAGTAACTGCACACCTTTATTGCCCATCAGAAGTGTTGGTTGCTGGGTGCTGGTGGCTCACACCTAGCTACTCAGTAACCTAGCTACTCAGGAGGCTGCAATCTGAGGATCCTGGTTTGAAGCCAGCTAGGGCAAGAAAGTCTGTTAGATTCTTATCTGCAATTAACCAGCAAAAATCCAGAAGTGGATCTGGGATTGAAGTAGTAGAGTGTTAGTCTTAAGCAAAAATGCTCAGAGACAGTACCCAGGCCCTGAGTTCAAAACCCAGAACCGGTATTAAAAGAAAAACCCAAAAACTTGTTTGTTGCGGAGAGGCAGGCACAGCATGGGGAGAGGACAGAATACTCTGGCCCTAGACCTCATCACTGTGCCCAAGGGCCCTTCCCAAACTTGCTCTAAGAAGCTCAATCCTGTGGGCCTAAAGGCCTCACCCAAAGATTGGGAGATCCACCCTACTGCTCTTTCTACCCCTGCACAAGTGCAGCCTGGCTTTCTGTCCTGTGGGAAAGGCTGGAGAAATGGGAAGAAGAGGCAGCCTGGGGAAGGGTGGGTCACAGACTGGGTATTGGGCAGGGGACTTGTGGGGAATTCACAGAAGTGGACAGGAAACCAAGCAGCCTGCCTGCTTCTTTAAATTCTTCCTCTCCATCTCAAATGCCACGTCAGTCATGAGGCCTTTGTCTCCCTGGCCGCAGGGGTCTTAGTCTCTCAGTGTGGGGTCAACAGAGCAGGAAGTTGGGCTGCATTCATGGGGTGCCCACATCACGGGAAAAGGGGGCCGGACACAGGATATGGAGGGCCCCAGGGACAGACAGGCCTGGCTTTCTATGCAGAGCTTTGCATTCTGTCCTGAGCTATGACAGCCCCCAGACCCATGCCTACCCCGGGCAGAGCACCCCAGAGAGCTGTCTGCCAAGTGTGGGTGTGGGGGCATGGGTACTTACACTAACACATCTGTTTCAAGTCCATGCAGAAGCGTGCCCACCATGTGTGGCTTCTAACCAATCTTTTCTTTCTCCCCTGCATGGCGCTGCCCTGTGCCAGGACCCTGCTGTGGACACGAATGGCAGCCTGGCGGCGCCCAGCCCCGAGGCGAGGGCCAGCTCGGGCACCCTGGAGCTCAGGGACACCTTTAGCTCCTCCTTCTCCCAGGCCTCTGTCTGCTCCTTGGACTCCAGTCCTCCAGGGGGCAGCCCAGGGGCCAAGGCCAGTCTGGAGGGCACCCAGGGCCCACTCAGCCCCAAAGTCCTGCCAGGTCCGAGCCAACCAAGGCAGTATAACAACCCCATTGGCCTGTACTCAGCAGAGACCCTGAGGGAGATGGCTCAGATGTATCAGATGAGCCTCCGAGGGAAGGCCTCATGTGCTGGACTCCTAGGCGGGTAGGTAACAGGCGGGCCACTGGAATCCTCAGTGCTCGTGGCAGAGGCCTCATCAGGTGGTCAGAGCAAGGCATTGGCCTTAGCCCCAGCTCAACAAGGCAGCACAGGTTTAGAGCAAGGCCGGCAAAGAGCCTATTGACATCTGCCCCACACTGGGCACATCATTGATTTCTGTAATCACTCTGGGGTGACAGGTCAGCTTCTTTGCAAAGAGGAAACTGAGGCACAGAGAAGGTTAACCTGAGGTCCAGTGCTTCAGCTACTAAGAGGCAGAATCAGGCCTGCATGTAAGAGACTGTCTTCCCAAATTTTCAAACCAGGTCACACACCCCTCTCTTTGGGACCCACAGTTTTCTGCCGTTAGCACTCAAGGAGACAGGCTAGCTTCCATCTCTCTAAGAACTCTAAGCCAGAAACAAGGAAATATCTTCAGTGAGTTCTCTAGGGCTAGGAGGAATCTGAGAAAGCTGCCTGGAGGAGGAAGTACTACACATTCTCCATTCAAAGACTGGGCAGTGGTGTGAGGGGAGTGGGTTTGCTGGACTGACCTTGACCAGGGTTGTTAAGACCCTGAGGAGGAAGGGGCTCTGGAGGTAGAGGAACCTGGAGCTGGGACATCGTGGAGGGGCGAGTGAAGGGGGCACCTAAGCTAAGCATTGACCTCTAGTCCCTTCCCACCTGCTCTTCTTGGAACCTTTGCTTAAATCTCTGGCTGCTAAAGGCAGAGCAGGCTGAGGTAATGAAGCATAGTCTAGTGGCTCATGGGAAAGGGGGTATCCACATCTTGGGGTTACTGGGGGTAAGGGATAGAGAGGAACAGCACATGTAAAGTGCTGAATTCCATTCTGCCACTCTCACATGGTACCCACCTCCTGGAGTCTGCCACCAGTCCGCAGGAGGTCAGTCAGTCTGACCCCAGCTCACTCCCTTCTTTCCTCTGTCTTGCAGTGCTATACCAGCTCAGTGCTGCATGGATATGCCAGCATTCCCCAGCTCCTTCTTTTTCCCTTTTTGATTTCCTTTTGTGCAGATACTGGATCTCACTTAGCTTTTTGTCATTTTACTACGTAGGCCACAGTTCCACTTCCAACTTTTTGCTGATGAATTGAAAGTAAGAGTTTCACGGACTTTCCTGCCCAGGCTGGCTTCAAACGGAGATCCTCCAATCTCAGCCTTCTGTGTAGCTAGGATTACAGGCATAACCCCCCAGCACCTGGCTCCCAGATCTTTCTGAGTATGCCTGGCCTTGGGCATGGTATGGCTTCCGTGGGCTAAGGTGGCAGAGACACATATAGCTTCCCAGTGAGGGGCTTTTCTCAGAAAACTCAGGATTAGCAAAACCTAGAATGGCCTCCTTGGTTTTAATGAGCTGGTAAAATCTTGTTGGTCCTTTCTGGGACTAACCCCAGACAGAAAGACTGTCCCACTCTCGGTAATGACAACATCACTGCTAGTTGAGTTCTGACTCTTGGGTTGGGGCTGGCTTTAGCTCAGTAATTTCACAGATGGATTTTTCCCCCTTGCCTTACAGAAGCTCAGAAAGGGTGAGTGATTTGAATAAAGTAGTAGAGACTGTATGTAGCCTATGGGATGGGTACCTTGGCCTGCCTGAATCATCTTGCTTGGTGACAGACAGCAAGCTACCTGCTAGGTTTCCTTGACTCCCAAGGGCCATCCCATTGACATAGGTACTGTCCCAAACCTGGCAAATGTATGAATTATGACTTGATACCCAAAGAGGAAGAACTCAACAGTTCTCTTTTGGGAAGATAAGCCAGAAAGGAAGAGAGTGTGGTGTTTCATCCAAAGGAAAAACCAAAGAGCCAGGCACTCGTGGCTCATACCTGTAATTCTAGCTACTCAGGAGGCTGAGAGCTGAGGATTGTGGTTCAAAACCAGCCCAGGTAGGAAGGTCCATGAGGCTCTTACCTCCAATTAACCACAAAAAATGCTAGAAGTGGAGCTGTGGCTCAAGTGGTAGAGTGCTAGCTTTGAATTCAAGTTTCAGGACCAGCACAAAACCAACCAACGAACCAAAAACCAAAACAAAACCAAGGCTATTGTCCAGGAGCAATATTTGGGAGGGGAAGGAGAGAGGGGGTGTTTCTGTGGACAGAGGTCACCATCTTTGCTATGTTCTAACTGCTCCTAGGCTATAGAGGTTGGCAAATGCTAAGCTCTTCATCCATTGTACCCTTATGCTAAGGGCTTTAGACTAAGGGTCTTGTTTACTCTGCATTAACCCATTTGTGGGGCTGGCACCTCGGTCTCCATCTGACACTTGAGAAATGGAAGCCTGAGACAGGCGAGTCACCTGTCAAGGAAGACACAGGATCAGGAAGTAATTTCTGTCCTGTTTGGCTCCAAAGGAAGTCCTGTCCCCAACTCCACCTGGAGAGGCAGCTTACAATGTGATTTATTAGCAGCTTGTTATCTGCTAGGACTAGAAAGGGACTGAGGGAGCCAGGCACCGATGGATTACACTTGTAATCCTAGCTACTCAGAAGGCTGAGATCTAAAGATCTCTATCTGAAGCCAGCCCAGGCAGGAAAGTTGATGAGACTTTTACCTCTAACAAACTACTGGGAAAAAAAAAGCCAAAAGTAGTAGAACACTAGCCTTGAGAAAAGGAAGCTATTAGCTCCCCTCTGAGTGCAGTCTGTGGCAAGCACCCTAGCCTTGAGTCCTCAGAAGGGACGGGAGTCAATGTCAAAGGAATTGGCTGCAAGGCTACACAGAGGCAATTCCCATCCCCACCGGGGCAACACTGCCTCCTGCTGGGGGACACTGTGGTGCTCAGGGCAAGCACTGACCCTGCAGCTGTCAGCACTGGCCAAACATGGAGAAGGAATGGAAGCTCCAAGCTGGTCCTTACCTAATATAGCTCAACTTGTGGCTATTTTGAGCCTGGGAGGACAGAGGGAATTTTATCAGCTCCAAGACAGTGGGGGGCCTGGGGTTGAGCAAAGCCAGGATCCTAGCTAGGGGGTGATCAGGGTCAAGTTAGCTGGGCCCAGACTTCCCCCAGCCAGAACCCACCGTGAGCAGACCATAGTGGGTGGTAGAATTTGGAGACAGAGCCCGCTGGCCTCCACACTGGGTCTCAGGTTTCAGACAGAGTCACTGGCCTCAGGGTCTGCAGTGCAGGGAATCTGATTTTACAGAACCTAGATGTGCCAAGTGCCAGTGGCTCATGCCTGTAATCCTACCTACTCAGGAGGCTGAGGACTGAGGATTCTCATTCGAAGCTAGTCTGGGCAGATAAGTCTGAGATAACTCTTAAAAATATGATTTTATTATTATTATTAAGATGTTGTACAGAGAGATCATCATTTTATAAGTCAAGTAACAGAGTATATCCATTTTTTGGACAATGTCACACCTTTCTTCACTTTCCCCCAGTTCTCCTCTTCCACCCTGGCCACAAGTCACATAGTTCATTTTCTACATAGTGTATACTGAGGAGCATGATTGCATTTGTTCACCTTTCCTCCACCTTTGTCCCTCCAAAAAGAAAAAAAAAAATACAAAAGCAAAACCAACAAAAGAAGCCCATGTTTCCATTTCCTGGATTTCCTTTTGACAAATAGTATTTTAAATGTTCAGAGGAGTTATACCTTTCCTCCCCACAGACTATCCTCCTTCAGTATGTTTGTGTGTGTGTGTGTCTGGAGTCTGGTATAAGTTATCATTCCGAGTTCTATTTTAGATCTAGCTTCCACACATGAGAGAAAACATGTGGCATTTGTCCTGGGAGAGCTCTTTTCTCCAACTAAATAGCTAGAAGTGGAAGAGTGGCTCAAGTAGTAGAGCAGCAGCCTTGAATAAAAAAGCTAAGAAGAGCACAGGCCTTGAGTTCAAGCTCCAGTATCAGAAGAAAGAAAGATAGAAAGAAAGGAAGGAAGGAAGGAAAGAAGGAAGGAAGAAAGGAAGAAAGGAAGGAAAGAAAGAAGGAAGGAGTAAACAATGCTCTCCCAAACACCTTGAGTTCCAGGGGTTGGCTCTCAGGTCAGAGGGAAGGCAAGGTCCCTCAATGGTGTCCACGCTGGGCTGCCCCAGCTGGTGCCTCTCCTGTAGCAAACCTTGGCCCCTTCCTCCTCCTGGGCCTTGTGAGTTCTCTCTTGTTCACTGCCATCCACTGCATCCTTAGGAAGAGTCACTGGGGATTGCATCCATCTGTCTGCCTCTGTGTTCCATAGAGAGCTGCCAGAACTGCTTACTATCCTCTGGGAGGGAGAACAACTCCCAGGGGGCCATGGGACACCATGGCTACCCCTCCCCCCCCCAAAAAAAAATTACTGCAGTGGCTGCTCAGGGAGCAGAAACAGGGCTAAGTCCAGAGCTGCCTCTCCAGGAGGGGCCTGGAGCTTCTTGAAACCTGTCTTCAACCCATAGCTGCCTGTGTAATGGGGCAGATTGTGTAATGGGGGCGGGGCGGCGGGGAGTGTCTATGTGCGTGGAAGAGCTGCCTTCCTGATGGATGAGAAGAGTCCTCTCCCTGGCAAAGCTGAGGGCACTGGGATTCATCGCAGACAGAGCATGGCTGTAGTGGCATCTTTAGCCCAAATCAGGGCTCCTGGAGGCCGTGATTCCTGAGTCGGGGCGCTCTCCTCCATTCTCTCATCTAGTATAGCTTGGCTGGTTCTGTCTCAGTCTTGATCAGACAAAGGGTGATGCCAGTCCTCAAATCCTCCCCACCACCACACATACACCCTGCAGGAGTCTCGCTCTGACTATTCTTGTCTTCTTTGCCCTTTCTCTCCTTCTCAGGTGGTAGCCAACTCTCCTGCCAAGTTAGTATTCAGACAGCATGCGTGTGTACCCGTGTGCCAGCCCAGCATGTGTCTATGGCCTGTGGCATGCGGATGTGTGTGCATGTGTGAGTAGGGGTGCATTTGTGGCCCTGGGTGAGCCTGCGGAGGTGCAACGCGGGCGAGCAGAGTGAACGCATTGCAGGGCAGGTGTTCGTCCATTCGATGGTGTTGATTTTGTCCCCCATTTCCGGCTTAAGCTTGGCAGGCTGACTCTGGTTTGGGGGGAAGGGGAAGGTGGGGCTGCACTTTGGCTAGGGCCTGCGTGAGCCTGAAGATCTAATGTCCTGAAGGGACCCCAGAAAGACTGCACCTGGTTTTTGTCTCTTCCTTGGGGAGCACACTTACCTGTTGGAGGAAAGAGTCCCCAGATGGGTAGAGGCTGGCAGACAGAACTAGAGGTGCTTAGACAGCCTTGCTGTCCCTGCTCCCAGGAAGAAACACATGTATGGAAGCATCTAGAAGAATAGAGAGCCCCTGACCACAGAGGGGTAGCTGGCACAAGGAGCCAGCCCCTTTCATGGAAGAGTCTCCTTCGGAAGCTCTCATTCGGGTGCCCACGGTGGCTGCTTTTCACCTTTGGGACACTTTGGACTCGTTTTTGCTACTGCTGCTTTTCTCATGAACCCAGCGTTTGTCCTTTCCTCAGTCCCTGCTCACCTAACGCCTTCGTTTCTGCTTTTCCATTAGGACTGTGTGTGCTGGGTGCGCTTCTTGTGTTGGGCGCCACCTGCTGGCTATGGGAGGACGCTCAGGCTTAGCCAGTGCCTGCTGGGGGATCTGGGAGAGCTGGGATGGGCCAGAAAAGAAAAGAAAAAAAACAACAACAACAAAAAAAAACTACATAGGGGCTTGGGGGAGGTGCTGAGGAGCTGCCTGACCACTAGACCACAGTGGGGTCTACTTGGAGAGAGAATCTCGGCTCTGGGAGGTCTCTTTTAATACCCACCACCAGTAGACTAGCTTTGACCTCCTCTCCTTGACCTCCTCCTCTTCTTCTCCTCTCTTCTCTACTCCTTTCCTCTCTTCTCTCCTCCCCTCCCTCCCTTTCGTCCTCTCTCCCTTCCTTCCTTCTTTCCTTCCTTCCTTCCTCCTTTCCCTCCTCTCTCCCTCCTTTTCTTTCCTTTCTTCTTCCTTTCCTTCTTCCCTCCTCCTCTCCCTCCCTTCCCTTCCTTCTTTCCTTCCTTCCTTCTTTCCTTCTTCCTTCTTCCCTCCTTCCTTCCATACCTTCCTTCCTTCTTCCTTTCCTCCCTCCTCCCCTCCCCTCCTTCCTTCCCTTGCTTCCTTTCTTTCCTTGCTTCCTTTCTTCCATTCCCTCCCTCCCTCCCTCCCTCCCTCCCTCCCTCCCTCCCTCCCTTCCTTCCTTCCTTCCTTCCTTTCTTCCCTCCTTCCTTCCATACCTTTCTGCCTTTCCTCCCTCCTCCCCTTCCTCCTTCCCCTCCCTCCCTCCTTCCTTCCCTTGCTTCCTTTCTTCCATTCCCTCCCTCCCTCCCTTCCTTCCTCCCTCCTTCCCTCCCTCCCTCCCTTCCTTCCTTCCTTCCGCCTCACTCCTGCCCCTCATGTGCTGCCTCCAGTGCTGACTACCAGGAACGTTTCAACCCCAGTGCCTTGAAGGACTCAGCCCTGTCCACCCACAAGCCCATTGAGGTGAAGGGACTGGGTGGCAAGGCCACCATCATCCATGCGCAGTACAACACACCCATCAGCATGTACTCCCAGGATGCCATCATGGATGCCATCGCCGGGCAGGCCCAGGCTCAAGGCAGTGACTTCAGTGGGTAAGCGCCTGTCCATCTCCACCTGCCCGCCGAGGCCACCGGATGCCATCAGGACTGACTTTTTCCCTCACCTTGGGCCTCTTCCACACAGACCTTTGGGGGTGGGGGTAAAGTCAGCCCTCACCAGGGCCTTCCAAAGTATAGTTGTCTTCCACGTCAGAATCTACTCCATGCTCAGCTTTAAGGAGAAAGGTGAAGGATGCAGAATGTGGCGATTTCTCAAAGATCTTTTCACAGTCTCTATTTTCCTGGCATCATACAAAGGCTGCTTTAGACTTCACTGGAGAGCCCTAGGCCTTTCTCCACTAAGCCATTCTTGGGAAAGGGAGCGGGGTTGCTTCATTCTTGGTTCTTCATTCAGGTTTCTTATTGGGAAGATGCTTCAGATCAGCCATCAAAGCTAAATCTGGCAGCCAATCCCCAGCTGATGGGCATCCCCTCATTCCCTGTCCCACGAAGCCTGGTCTCAGAACAGTGGAATTTAAGATTTTCTTTTTTGTCGGTCGTAGGGCTTGAACTCTGGGCTTGGGCGCTGTCCCTGTGCTCTTCAGCTCAAGGCGAGTGCTCTACTGCATGAGCCACAGCGCCACTTCTGGTTTTCTAGTGGTTTATTGGAGATAAGAGTCTCACGGACTTTCCTGCCTGGGCTGGCTTTGAACCGCGATCCTCAGATCTCAGCCTCCCAAGTAGTTAAGATTACAGGCGTGAGCCACCGACACCCACCAAGATATTTTTGTTCTAACAATTTGTTAAGACTGGAATTAGTTAAGACTGGAAATTTCAAGGTGGATTAGGAAGGCAGCTGCTGAAACTCTTGCAGATGAAGCTACTAATTGTGCAAATATTAATGTCTCTCTCATTCTCTCATCCTCTCTCTCTCTCTCTCTTGCTCTCGCTCTCACTCTTTCCTTATTTACTCATATTCTTTTTGCCAGTGCCAGGGCCTTGCCACTCCTTTAGCTTGCTTGCTCAAGGCCGGAGCTATATCCTTAAGCCATGCCTCCAGTCTGGCTTTTGGCTGGTTTATTAGAAATAGAATCTTGTGGACTTTTCTGCCCTAGGCTGGCTTCAAACTGCAACCTCTGAGTCTCAGCCTCCTAAGTAGCTAAGATTACAGGCGTGAGCTACTGGCGTTGGCTCCTTTCTTGTCTCTTTCTCTCTGTGTCTGTCCTTCTATCTCAATTTCTGTCTCTCTCTATTTCTTTGTCTCTATCTCTTTCTCCCTATTTTCTTCTCCCTCTTATTATCTTCCTGTGTCTCTGTCTCTCTCTCCTAGCTTTTTTCCCCCTAGATAATCATATACACACAGAGTTCCTTGTGTTTTTCTGCTTAGGAATGCCATAATGTTGACTTACAGTATTGGTTGATTCTCTCTTCAACCAATATCTTATTCCTTGGACAGTATCCTTAGCAATCAGAGCAAAAAGTCTGGATAGTAATTATTTTTTAAGTTATGAAAACATGTTTTAAGAGGAATATAAGGTTAAAATCCCAGGAAGATCTTATAGGGTTTGCCTTTGCAGATCCAGTCCTTGTGGCTCAGGAGAGGCTCCAGAGGCCAGGGAATGGAATCCTGGGTGCCCTGGAGAATTTGGGTGCCCAAATTCTTGGGCTTCCTGGTCTTGGGGAGCTGTGGTGTCCTCTAGGGAATGTAGTACTTCATTGTCACCACTAGGGGGTGGAGATCACCAACTTTGGGGCTACAAGTCTCAAACCAGCTAGACTCAGGGTCAGATCCTTGGGCAGCACTGATGGATTTAAATCCATTATTCAAAGCAGGAAATATGACCATGTAAATTAAAAACAACCAATATCTCACATATACCAAGAAAAACAAAACTTCCTGATTGAGCCCAAGAACCATCTGAGATTTCCTGTTAACTATTTTTTTTTTGCTAACTGGTCTTTGGTATCCTCTTAAATGGGGTAGCAGACACCAAAATAAATAAATAAATAATAATAACGGGAAACAATGGAAGAACTACTCTTCACACTTTGTATTTTCTGCACCTTGGAAGATTACTGTCAGCATCAGGGCGCCTATGATACACCACTGATTAATCTTGATCTTTCCCATGTCCTTCTCATTCCCTTCCCTTCCCTTCCCTCCCTCTTCTTTCTCTGGTGTTTCTGGACAGGATTAGTTGTTCCCCTCTTCCTTTTTAACTCAGCCACGCTGGATTGTGGCTGCTTTGGTGCCAATGGGGAGCCCTCCTGGCCCTAATGAGCTCTTGTTGCTGCTGTTCACTCCCAAGATCCCTTCCTCACTGACTGTGTTCTCTGTTTCTTTCTCTCTCTCTTTCTACCTCTTCTCTTCCACCCATCCCACTCCCCTAACTCACTTCTGATATCCTAACCCCGCTCTCTTGTATGTGCTGCCCCTCTGCCACCCCCTGATGGACGCCCAACCCACGGCTGGGTTTCCCTCTGCTTGGCAGGGCATCGCCGCTGGCGTAAGTAGACCTGCAGTGTGTCTGTCGCGCCGTCTTGTCTGTCTGGTTGCGGGATGGTGTGTGGGTTTTGATGGGATGTGTCTGAGGACCAGTGGTCAGTGCGTGTGCTCTGTCCACATTCTTCCTCACACCCACCTCGCAGCCAAACGACATCCCCTGCAGCCTACACAAGCTCTGAAGAATGTCAATGTGGCTACAGAAATCCAGAGTAACCACACTCACACTACACCCAGCCTAAGGCCATGCTTTAGGGAAGCTCCTCCCCACCCCCAGCCTCCTCTCTGCATTGCACAGTGTGGACCTGGGGTCACATTCCACAGTGGGTCATTAGTCAGCGCCCGAGGGTGGCAAAAGGACCTCTTCACGGCTACTTCCCAGAATCCTCCTGAGAGAAAGATCTGTGGGGGTCTGTGCCAGCTAGGACTGTTCCAGGAAGGTGAAAGATGAATCAGATCTGGGAAGAGTACTCAGTGGAGTAAATGTCAGGGGTGATCTTGAACTTTCATAACTGAAAAGTCTTTTCTGTGGTGAGAAGCAGAAACTCTATGTGTCTCCAGAGAGCAGCACCAGGTTCTGGGACTTGGGAGCCTGTTCTGTCCTCCCTTACACATGTCTTTCCTTGCTAGAAAGGCCCTGTGATTGATTCCCTTACCTCCCTCCCGATCCTTGCGGCAAAAGAGACACCGATCTCTGCTCCTTGCAGTTTGGTGGGAAAGAAAGACATCACTGCTGAGTTCTGAGGAACTCAATCTTGGAAGCTTTCTTGAGCCCTTGGAGCTGGGGAAGACACAGAACAGCTCTACATACATACATACACACAAACACACACACGCACACGCACACACACCCCAGGGAAATGGAAACAAATGCCTCTAATATGCTTTCTGGATCATAAATGTAGACAGGCTGGAGGGCAAGGCCTTGGTTTGCATCTACTCCTCCCTTCCTTTCCTCTCAGCAGGGCAGGAGTCAAGAGCAAGGAAGATCGGGTTGTGGGTTTGTGTGTGTGTGTGTGGTTTTTTGTTTCTGTGGCACCGGGGACCAAACTCAGGGCCTTGCACTTACTTGCCAAGCAAATACTCTTCTACTGAGCTAACTTCCCAACCCCCTTCTTATTACCTATTTCACCTAAAGATCTTAGGAGACCTAGGGATCCTTCCTACCTTGCAATGCACTTCCTGGCAGCCCAGCCTACTTCCTGGCTAGATCCTAGAGGGGTCTGTAGAGCCGCCCTATCTGATTTTAATCCTCAGCCCACAATCCTCACAGCTCTCCAGGCCTAGGCAGGACTGGAGACATTGCTATCTACCTTTGATCCCTTTTTTCATCTCTGCTGGCCTAGTCCAATCTGAGCGAGGCCCAGGGAAAACAATCATGGAAGATAGAGTCAATTCTCTAGCTCCTTGCAGCAAGGAGATCCTCCCTAGCCAGCCAGTCTTCTGTGGGCCAGAATGGAAGCAGGTAGAAGGATGTTGGGTAGATCATGTCATCATCCAGTCAGAGCATTGTCAGTAAAGGTTTTGATGGCCAGGAGTGGCCTTCTGGACCTACCATGACTATGCAGGGCCTGATAAAAAGGACACTGGGAGCAGGGCACCAGTGGCTCACGCCTGTAATCCTAGCTACTCAGGAGGCTGAGACCTGAGGATCGTGGTTCAAAGCCAGCCCGGGCAGGAAAGTCTGTGAAACTCTTATCTCCAATAAACCACTAGAAAACTGGAAGTGGCGCTATAGCTCAAGTGGTAGAGCGCTCACCTTGAGCTGAAGAGCTGAGGGACAGCACTCAGGCCCAGAGTTCAAGCCCCACGACCGACCAAAAAAAAAAAAAAAGGACACTGGCTAAGTACCAGTATGCCTGAATTCTAGCAGCTGCACTCTCTGGACCTCAGTTTCAATGTTTCTGAGAGAAGGCTAGACTGGCAGCCATTACTGTGAGTTTTGCATGGGCTTCCTCCCCTGACCTCAAGAAGGAAGCCGGTCAACATAGATCCTTCTGCCTTTTGCCTGACCCATAAACCTTTGGATGATTAGATCATTGCCTAACCTGCAGCAGAATCCAGGGGGAAACCCTAGACTTGGGGCTCTTTGGAGCTCCTTTGGATCTAGGATTCACTCATTCAACTAAAAGGTTGTTTTCGTTTTTGTTTTTGTCTACTATTTGTGTGTGTGTGTGTGTGTGTGCGTGTGTGTGTGTGTGTGTGTGTGTGTCCTGGTCCTAGGACTTGAACTCAGGGCACTGTCCCTTAGCATTTTTTGCTCAAGGCTAGTGTTCTACCTCTTGAGCCACAGCTCCACTTCCTGCTTTTTTGGTGGTTAATTAGAAATAAGAATCTCCTGGACTTTCCTGCCTGGGCTGGCTTCAAACTGTAATCCACACATTTCAGCCTCCTGAGCCGGAACACAGGCATGAGCCACTGGTGCCCAGCTTCTACCAAGTTCCAGATTCTAGAAGTCCTTCCTCAAAGGACTGTTCTGACCTGGGGCAGAGGACCTGAGGCCTTCCCCTACCGGACTCCCAAACTCCCCTGTCCTGACCTTCAACCCTAACGCCCTATGGGTTGTGCCAGGCCCTCATGGGTCTTGTTGCCTTGTACCTCACACTTCTTACCTGGGTCTACCTGTCTATTGCTGAGCTCCAGAGCCCAGGGCCCTCTTCTAGGCAGCACAGTATTGCCAGCTTCCTGTAGGATCCAAAGATGGAAGGAGGGTGGTAAGGGGACCTGGGCCCCAAACTCAGGGCTCCCTGAGGGAGATCAGCATTACCTCAGAGTGATCAACATTACTTCAAGGAAATCTGCCCAGGATTCTGCAAGAATTCACCATGGGATGGGGCAGGTGACTTCAGGACTGGAGTTAGCACTAGGGAGGGACAAACAGGAGAGATGGAAGCTCCTGACCCCTGGTAGGGAAAAGGAGGCACTGCTTCGCCTGGACCACCCTGAGCACTGAGGATCCACTGTCTCAAGTACCCAATAGCACTGGGAACTGAACTGTGGCCTGGTGGGGCCTGAACAGTAGTATCACCAAGGGGCACCTGGGAGGTGGGAGGACATGGTGGGGGGAGGCACAGTGAAGGGGAACCTGAGTTCCACTCCAGCCCCAGCCCACACCTATTTCTACGCTGCAGGAGCCTTCCTGTGAAGGACCTGGCGGTGGACAGCGCCTCTCCTGTATACCAGGCTGTGATCAAGAACCAGAGCAAGCCGGAAGACGAGGCTGATGAGTGGGCTCGCCGGTCCTCGAACCTGCAGTCTCGCTCCTTCCGTATCCTGGCCCAGATGACGGGGACGGAATTCAGTGAGTGAGGGCTACCAGGGTGGGACCAGAGGAGGGTGACCCTGAGGCCCAGGAAGGTCCTTGGTCCTAATGCACAGTGTGTGTGTGTGTGGGGGGGGGGGGGGTGTATACCAGTACTGGAGCTTGAACTCAGAACCTAGGTACTATAGCTTTTTTTGCTCAAGGCTGGTACTCTACCACTTGAGCCACAGCTGCATTTCCAGCTTTTCTGGAATTTATGATAAGAGTTTCATGGATTTTCCTGCCTGGGATGCCTTTGAACCATGATCCTCAGATCTCAGCCCACTGAATAGCTAGAATTATAGGCAGGAACCACTGGTGCCCAGCCTACTGCACAGTCTTAAGCCCTATAGGAGCCAAGGAGCCAAGCCACCAACCCTTGGAAACAAATTAATGGTGATGAACTGCTAGCAGTGGGCAGAGCTCCTGTGGGACCCTCTGGGTGGGCTGTCCATTCATAGCAACCTTCCACCCCTAGCAACAAGGTGTCACACAATTTTCAGGCAACATGACTTCCAGGGCTGGGACAAGAGAACATTGCAGGCTGGGCTATGATCACTCTCCCTCAACTGTACCATGAGTTCCAAACCCCTCCTGGCTCTCTGCCGAGCTCCTTTCTCTAGTTGACAGGCATGAGGCAGGAAGTGTTCAAGGCCTGGCTGAATTCTGGGGACTTACTCTGCACAGAGCATCAATGGTATTTCTTCTGTGCTCGGTGAGACCTCCTGACTGGCTTCTTTCTGCCCACAGTGCAAGACCCGGATGAAGAAGCTCTGCGCAGGTCAAGGTAGGTGCCTGCACGCAGGCTCCATGGCCTTACCCTCTAACCCCATCCCTCCCCAGGCAGCTCCCAGGCCACATGACTCATGGAAGGAACCTGCCAAGTTCATGTATTTTGGAAAGCCCGGCCCACAAAGGATGCCAGCCTATGCTGGCTTGGATGCCTATTATAGATCCATAAGGTGGGTGCCTGGAGCTGAGTGTCCATACCCAGGCTGCAGCAATAAGGACTCTAGGCACGCCTGGCTCTGTCCCTGGGCAGGAGCAGGGCTGCTTTGATCTTTGCTGGGCTACAGAGAATGAGGGCACCTCTCCCTGTGAGGGCAGCCGGCCAGTGCTTTGTCTGCCCCTTCATCGCAGGGCCTGTCTCCCCTGTGAGTCTGAAGGCTGGGCACTGGGAGAAGGCATGTGGAAGGCCATGTTGGGCATGCACGCCTAATCTCTGAGCACACTTATCCATATCTACATAGAGATACCAGTTCTGGAAATTGCTCCACAATCATAAGAGTTGCTGGAAGGGAGGACAAGTCCCTGGCACCAAGAGGGTCTTGTTTAGGGCTAGAGGTTGCTGATTGCGGTCACTCTTTGTCTTGGGACCTCCCAAGCCATAGCTGCTTACCTACTCTTTGCAGACTGTCAGGTGCTATAGCCCTGGGCATGAGGGTGGCATGCTTTCCTACAATCCACTGGAACCCCCAGAGGGGCCTTCCATGCAGAGGCATGGGGCCGAGTGTGATTGTTTACTTCTGGTAGCAAGTATGTCATTTGCATGCTTCTCTTGGGAACTTCTGCCTGTGGCATCCTGCAGTCTCTCTGTGAGGGCCTGGAGCTCAGAGGCATGCTTCCACCCTGAGCCAAGCTTCCTGTACTTGCTAACCAGTGTGTGGTGACCACAGGTCTTGCCTAGAGGAGGACTCTGGGGCCAGCTGGGGTTTCACATGGATGTGATTGTTGTTGAACTTGTATTTTTTTGGGAGGGAGGGTTCATCCACTCCAGTTACCTCTACCTTTTGTCTGGACATCTAAGCCCAGGTATGGTCCTCCCAGCTCTTTTGGATGGCATGTAGCCCCTGTAATGGTCATTAACCCTTTCGTGCCTGCAGTGCATCTGCCAAGGGAGATGATGCTGGGCTCCAAAGTAGAGAGCCAGCTGTTTTAAGTGGGAGGAGCGTCAGCTAGTCCTTCCTCCCAGACTGTGCTACTTCTGTGTCTGTGACACTCTCTTCCTCCAAGCCACCCACATAGAGAGTTTGGAGAGGAATGAAGACTTTCTCAAAGACTCCACAAATGGTTTTTCCCCAACCCCCTCATCCCCACCCCAACAGCCTAAACATCCCAGGTTCCTTCCATTAAGAAGTCAGCAGGGACCTTTTTACTCCTTCCCATAAGACCTAGAGCCTTGCCCTCTCGGTCCCTGGCACCTTTTTCTGATCATTTTGTGTTCCTTCCCATCAGATACACACAGGGGCTATGCTAAGCTTGGGGCTTGTCATTCAGCTGCCTTAGAAGGGGGAAGGATACTAGTAGGGATTATAGAAAACATTTTTTTTTCTTTTGCCAGTCCTGGGGCTTGAACTCCGGAACTGGGTGCTGTCCCTGAGCTTTTGTGCTTAAGGCTAGTGCTCTACAGATCCACTTTCTGCTTTTTGGAAATTAATTGGAGATAAGAGTCTCACAGACTTTCCCAATTGGTCTGGTTTTGAACCGCAATCCTCAGATCACAGCTTCCTGAGGAGCTAGAATTACAGGTGTGAGCAGCCATGGCTGCCTGGCTTACAGAAAACTTTTATTTTTCCTATTTGCCCTGGAATATTCCCAGGGACTACCTATCACAGTGTTTGATCAGGGAAAAATCTGGAAAGAAAGCCCAACAAGGGGCTCTAGCCTGCTTCCTCCCCCTGTCTCAGGCAGCTTCTGCCAATCAGCCCCTCTTCTGGGATCTCAGGCCCCGAACTGGAGGCTCTGAGGAACTAGTAACCTCCTCCTTGGACTATGGGAACCAGGATGTAAGCCCCCTGCCCCTTCCTTCCTATCCTGTGTTACTGGGGTTGAACTCAAAGCCTTGTGCTAATAAGTAGGCACTGTCGCTTAAGTTAGCACTTGAATCATATCCTCAGCCAGAGGATTTAATTTTTTCTGCTTTAGTTATTTTTTTTTTGATAGAATATCATGCTTTTCTAGGCCCAGGCTGGCCTAAACCATGATCCTCCTATCTATGCCTCCTTCATAGTTGAAATCACAAGTATGAACTACCACACCTAGTTTGTTGGTTGAGATGGGGTCTCATTAAACTAACCTTTTGCCCAGCTGGCATTGATCCATAATCTTCCTTATCTCTGCCTGTTGAGTAGTTGGTATTACAGGATTGGGCTACCAAATCCAGCCATGACTATTAATTTCTTCAGGTCATCCTCATGGACAGCCTCCCACCACTAAATCCAGGGCAGGTGCGATGGATGGGTGAATACCATTCTTCTTGTGATTAAAGCCTCTATAAACCTCTGGCCACTGGTTGTAGCTGGGACCCACACTTACCCAAGTGGCCATCTGAGCAGAATGGAGTGTGCTTGTCCCCACCCCCAACCCTTACACTTCAGTCAGAAGCTGTACCCCCAAATCCAGTTTATCCAACTTGTTGGCTGACAGTATCCAACTAAACCCTTCCTCTTTTCTTTTTCTTTCCTCCTTCTTTTTTTTGGGGCAGGGGGCTGGCCCAGAAGTTTGAACTCAGGGTCTGGGCAGTATCCCTGAGTTTTTTTGTTCAAGGATAGTGCTTTACCATTTGAGCCACAGCTCCACTTCCAGCTTTTGCTAAGTACTTTATTGGAGATAAGTCTCACCCACTTTCCTGCCCAGGCTGGCTTTGAAGCATGACCCTCAGATTTTAGCCTCCTGAGTAGCTAGGATTACAGGTGTGAGCCACCAGCACCCAGACCCTCTTTTTCTCCTATTACATCATAGTATTCTGCCGCTCTACTGAGTATGAGAATCAAACTTGGAGACACCAGGATATACAAATACCACAGTCTCAGCAGCCCTGGTGGGCCTTCTCTTCCTTTCTTTTGCTTTTCTCTCTTTTTTTCTCTTCCCTTGTGCCTTCTTCTCCTTGCTCCTTTCTTTTGGCTAATGGAAATTCTAAACAGCACCAAGTAGAGAAACTTCAGGTTTGGCCTTCGCCTTGCCCCCAAGCAATAATGACAAATCATCACCCAGTCTCAGTAAGCCTTACAAGAAAATTGACAGTTTACCGGAAATTTGCTACATCTAATTTTGCATTCCTGTGTCCTGGATAGGCTGGTCATGATTGTAGAGCTGTGTGGGCCTTACCACAGGGTCTTTGCTTATACGGGCTGCACTCCTTCACCCTGACCTCAGAGGGACAGAAGTGGAGCAAGAGAAGTTGCTCAATTCTTTAGAGCATGGTTTTGCTGCTGGGGCTTCAGATCATTTGTGTGACCATCTCTGGGCCTGTTTTGTCTTGTTATAAGGAAATATTGCTTTAGACCAGTGGTTTTCAACTATGTCAGCATTCAGCCCCTTTGGACAAACAGTTGTACACAGAGACCCAATATGGTAGACTGGAGGGGTAGAACAAATGTTTGCCATGCAGATGGCAAAGTGGACTTTTGTAAATGTTAGGATATAGGAACAGTAAGGACTGGCACCTGAGGATGGTTACTATACAGAATGGTAAGCCCAGCACTATCATGTCTTCTGATCTTTTCAGTACCTAAAGTTGACCTTCTGATTCTTATGTGCTGGCAATTCTTTTTTGTTTTTTTAATGAAACTTTGGTTTACTTTGAGAGAACTGTCAATTCAGCTTTTGTCAGGCTTAAGAAATAACACAGAGCTATCCCCTTGGGCCTTTTACTCCTTTACCCCAGTAGTAACATCTTGCAACACATGACAGCAAGGCTACAATCAGGATAGGGAATATTCCATCACTCTAAGGCAGCTCAGGCCATGCCTAGCCCAGACCTTTTCCCCCAACTTTTGCCCCAAACTACAAATCTATTGTTGTCTGCTCTCCATTTCTTCATTTGCAAGAATGTGCTAAAGATAAAAGCAAACAGCATGTGATTGTTTAAGGATTGGCATTTTCAACTGAGAGATATAATCAAATTGTCCAAGGTACAAGTCAAGCTTCCCTAATCTAAAACTACAAATCTTCCCTGCTTCAAATTCAAAACATTTTGAGCATCCACATGATACTACAAGTGGAAAATTCCACAATTGACCTTCTGTAGTAGGTTGACATCAAAACACAGGTGCAGGTAGCTCAAGCCTGTAATCCTAGCTAGTCAGGAGGCTGAGATCTAAGGACTGAGAATAAAGCTAGACCAAGCAGAAAAGTGAAACTCTTATATCCAATTAACCTGCAAAACACTGGAAGTGGAGTTGTTACTCAAGTGGTAGAGTGCCAGCCTTGAGTAATAAAACCAAGTGAGACATAAGGCCCTGAGTTTAAGCTCCAGTACCATCACACACACATGCGTGCATGCACATGCACACACGTGCTCACACACATACACACACCACATGCACTAAAACATAGGTTGGTATATAAAGTATTTCTGAAATGTAAGTAGTGTTGTGTTTAGGTTTGGGTCTCTAAGATTTCTTACTATGTATATGAAAATATTCCAAAAAAGGAATTTGAAAACCTGCAGTTCTGGTGGTTCTTTTCATTGCTAAGTAGCATGAGTACAGCAATTTATTTTTGAATCCTATACTTCTTTTTCTTTATTATTATAATAGTGATATACAAGTAACTTTTTTTTTGGGGGGGGTCTGGTCATGGGGCCTGAACTCTGGGCCTGGGCGCTGTCCCTCAGCTCTTCAGCCCAAGGCTAGCACTCTACCACTTGAGCCACAGTGCCACTTCTGGCTTTTATTTTTTTGCTTATGTGGTTTTGAGGAATCGAACCCAGGGCCTCAGGCATGCAAGGCAAGCGCTCTACCACTGAGCCACCTTCCCAGCCCCATATAGGTGACTTTTTTACTT